AAAACCCCGAATACATCGTAACATCAATAAAATCAAAAACATTAATATCGATACCAGGAATAACATTAACAACAACAACAGCAACAATAGCAACAGCATCAATACCAACATTAGCAACAACATCAACAACAACTACAACATCAACAACAACTACAACACCAACATTAGCAACAACATAAGCAACAACAACAACTACAACAGCAACAACAACACCAACATTAGCAACAACAACATCAGCAACAAAAACAACAACAACACTAACATCAGCAGCAACAACATCAACAACAACAACATCAACAATAAGATGGCGTACGCAGATATACCCCTTCAAGTCCTCCCCAAGCCAGATTATGATCAGGATGATGGTGATGGTGATGATGGCAGGGGTGGGGGTGGGGGCAGTCAATCCGATAGTTTCTCTGACGAAGTAGCTAGGATTAAAAAAAAAAATAAAAGAAAAGGTTATGATAACGATGATGATGGCGGTGGTGATGATGGTGATGATGATGGTGATGATGGTGGTGATGATGATGGTAGTGGTGGTGATGATAGTGATGATGATGGTAGTGATGGTGATAATGATGGTGATGGTGATGGTGATGATGATGACGATGATGGTGTAGGTGATGGTGATGAGTATGTTTCTTTCTAGCAATGGTCAAACAAACGAACAACACACCAACACAACACAACGAACACAAACAAACAACAACAACAATATATCAACAAAACAACAACAACACAACAAACACAAAGAAACAACAACACACAACATAACAACACAAACCAACAATAACACACAACATAACAACAACACACAACAACAACAACAACGCAACAAACACAGACAAACAACAACAACGCAACAAACACAGACAAACAACAACATATCAACAACACAACAAACACAAAGAAACAACAACACACAACAACAAAAAATAGGTAAACTTGATGCAAAAGATAGCAACAACAATGAAGACGCTCTGAAGAGGTACTTTGCCAATCAAGGGTACAACGACGAAAACGACGACGAAGATTCGTACAACGGCGACAACAACAACAACAACAACAACAACAACGATGATGACGAC